CTTCATTTCTTTCTTTCTTTCTTTCTTTCTTTCTTTCTTTTCTTTGAGTATTCCCTTTCTTTTTCCTCTTCAACCTTTATTTTCTATTCTTTCTTTCTTTCTTTCTTTCTTTATTTCTTTCTTTCTTTGAGTATTCCCTTTCTTTTTCCTCTTCAACCTTTATTTTCCATTCTTTCTTTCTTTCTTTCTTTCTTTCTTAATTTCTTTCTTTCTTTGAGTATACCTTTTCTTTTTCCTCTTCAACCTTTTTTTTTTCTATTCTTTCTTTCTTTCTTTCTTTCTTTTTTGAGTATTCCCTTTCTTTTTTCGTCTTCAACCTTTATTTTCCATTCTTTCTTTCTTTCTTTCTTTTTTTTCTTTTGAGTATTCCCTTTCTTTTTCTCGTCAACCTATATTTTCCTACCTTCCTTCCTTCCTTCATTTCTTTTTTCTTTCTTTCTTTTTCTTTCTTTCTTTCGTTTCTTTGAGTATTCCCTTTCTTTTTTTCCTCTTCAACCTTTATTTTCTATTCTTTCTTTCTTTCTTTCTTTCTTTCTTTGAGTATTCCCTTTCTTTTTCCTCTTCAACCTTTATTTTCTATTCTTTCTTTCTTTCTTTCTTTCTTTCTTTCTTTGAGTATTCCCTTTCTTTTTCCTCTTCAACCTTTATTTTCCATTCTTTCTTTCTTTCTTTATTTCTTTATTTCTTTCTTTCTTTGAGTATTCCTTTTCTTTTTCCTCTTCAACCTTTATTTTTCTATTCTTTCTTTCTTTTTTTTTCTTTCTTTCTTTCTTTCTTTTCTTTCTTTGAGTATTCCTTTTTTTTCCTCTTCAACCTTTTATTTTCCATTCTTTCTTTCTTTCTTTTCTTTCTTTTTCTTTCTTTCTTTGAGTATTCCTTTTCTTTTTCCTCTTCAACCTTTTTTTTTTTTCTTTTCTTTCTTTCTTTCTTTCTTTCTTTCTTTTTTCTTTGAGTATTCCCTTTTTCCTCTTCAACCTTTATTTTCCATTCTTTCTTTCTTTCTTTCTTTTCTTTCTTTTTTTTCTTTGAGTATTCCCTTTCTTTTTCTCGTCAACCTATATTTTCCTACCTTCCTTCCTTCCTTCATTTCTTTCTTTCTTTCTTTCTTTTTTCTTTCTTTTCTTTGAGTATTCCTTTCTTTTTTTCCTCTTCAACCTTTATTTTCTATTCTTTCTTTTTTTCTTTTTCTTTTCTTTATTTCTTTCTTTCTTTGAGTATTCCTTTTTTCCTCTTCAACCTTTATTTTTCATTCTTTCTTTCTTTCTTTCTTTCTTTATTTCTTTCTTTCCTTGAGTATTCCTTTTCTTTTTCCTCTTCAACCTTTATTTTCTATTCTTTCTTTCTTTCTTTCTTTCTTTCTTTGAGTATTCCCTTTCTTTTTCCTCTTCAACCTTTATTTTCCATTCTTTCTTTCTTTCTTTCTTTTTTTCTTTGAGTATTCCCTTTCTTTTTTCTCGTCAACCTATATTTTCCTACCTTCCTTCCTTCCTTCATTTCTTTCTTTCTTTCTTTCTTTCTTTCTTTCTTTTCTTTGAGTATTCCCTTTCTTTTTCCTCTTCAACCTTTATTTTCTATTCTTTCTTTCTTTCTTTTCTTTCTTTCTTTTTTTTTCTTTCTTTCTTTGAGTATTCCCTTTTTTTTTTCCTCTTCAACCTTTATTTTCCATTCTTTCTTTCTTTCTTTCTTTATTTCTTTCTTTCTTTGAGTATTCCTTTTCTTTTCCTCTTCAACCTTTATTTTCTATTCTTTCTTTCTTTCTTTCTTTTTTTTCTTTCTTTCTTTCTTTGAGTATTCCTTTTCTTTTTCCTCTTCAACCTTTTATTTTCCATTCTTTTCTTTCTTTCTTTCTTTCTTTTCTTTCTTTTTTTTCTTTGAGTATTCCCTTTTTTTTTCTCGTCAACCTATATTTTCCACCTTCTTTCCTTCCTTCATTTCTTTCTTTCTTTTTTTTCTTTCTTTCTTTTCTTTTTCTATTCCTTTCTTTTTCCTTTTCAACCTTTATTTCCTTATTCTTTCTTTCTTTCTTTCTTTCTTTCATTCTTTCTTTTCTTTGAGTATTCCTTTTCTTTTTCCTCTTCAACCTTTATTTTCTATTCTTTTCTTTCTTTCTTTCTTTTCTTTCTTTCTTTCTTTCTTTCTTTGAGTATTCCTTTTTCTTTTTTCCTCTTCAACCCTTTATTTTCCATTCTTTCTTTCTTTCTTTCTTTCTTTTTTTTCTTTGAGTATTCCCTTTCTTTTTCTCTTCAACCTTATTTTCCACCTTCCTTCCTTCCTTCATTTCTTTCTTTCTTTCTTTTCTTTGAGTATTCCCTTTCTTTTTCCTCTTCAACCTTTATTTTCTATTCTTTCTTTCTTTCTTTCTTTCTTTCTTTCTTTCTTTGAGTATTCCCTTTCTTTTTCCTCTTCAACCTTTATTTTCTATTCTTTCTTTCTTTCTTTCTTTCTTTATTTCTTTCTTTCTTTGAGTATTCCTTTCTTTTTTCCTCTTCAACCTTTATTTTTCTATTCTTTCTTTCTTTCTTTCTTTTATTTCTTTCTTTCTTTGAGTATTCCCTTTTTTTTTCCTCTTCAACCTTTATTTTCCATTCTTTCTTTCTTTTTTTTTTTCTTTTCTTTCTTTCTTTTTTCTTTCTTTCTTTCTTTCTTTCTTTCTTTGAGTATTCCCTTTCTTTTTCCTCTTCAACCTTTATTTTCCATTCTTTCTTTCTTTCTTTCTTTCTTTCTTTCTTTCTTTGAGTATTCCCTTTCTTTTTCCTCTTCAACCTTTATTTTCTATTCTTTATTTCTTTCTTTCTTTCTTTATTTCTTTCTTTCTTTGAGTATTCCCTTTCTTTTTCCTCTTCAACCTTTATTTTCCATTCTTTCTTTCTTTCTTTCTTTCTTTCTTTCTTTCTTTCTTTCTTTGAGTATTCCCTTTCTTTTTCCTCTTCAACCTTTATTTTCTATTCTTTCTTTCTTTCTTTCTTTCTTTCTTTCTTTCTTTGAGTATTCCCTTTCTTTTTCCTCTTCAACCTTTATTTTCCATTCTTTCTTTCTTTCTTTCTTTTTTTCTTTGAGTATTCCTTTCTTTTTCCTCTTCAACCTTTATTTTCCATTCTTTCTTTCTTTCTTTTTTTTTTTCTTTGAGTATTCCCTTTCTTTTTTCTCGTCAACCTATATTTTCCTACCTTCCTTCATTTCTTTCTTTCTTTCTTTTTCTTTCTTTCTTTCTTTCTTTCTTTCTTTCTTTGAGTATTCCCTTTCTTTTTCCTCGTCAACCTATATTTTCCTACCATCCTTTCTTCCTTCATTTCTTTCTTTCTTTCTTTCTTTTCTTTGAGTATTTCCTTTCTTTTCCTCTTCAACCTTCATTTTCCTTCCTTCCTTTCTTTCTAATACTTTCTTTTTTGAGTAATCCCTTTCTTTCCCCTCTTCAACCTTTATTTTCCTTCCTTCCTTCCTTCCTTCCTCCCTTCCTTCCTTCCTTCCTTCCTTCCTTCCTTCCTTCCTTCCTTACATTTTTATCGTAAAAATACCTGCAATATATCTTCATAGTAAAAACATTACCAGCAATACATTTTTAATTTAAGCGTGATACTATATTGGCTTTTGTTTGGTTTGTTTTACGGCATATCAACCTCAGTGGGATATTTAATGCCGACAAGATTTTTATGATTGGTAATTTTTTTCAAAAATGTATTGCTGGTATTTTTTTTTTTCAAAAATGTATTGCTGGTAAAAAATTTTCAAAAAAGTGTTGCTGGTATTAAAATCTATTTTTATACTTTCATAGTATTTTGACCCCTTTTGGTGGGGGTTTAACTATTTACCCATAGGTGAGACCCTGACAAGTGCTACCACCCCAGATCAGGGTGGGGCTGGAAACACCAGCATTTAAGAGGTGGTTCCACGCTCCTCAAAACCTCCTGATCAAAGGCCTTGCGGTCGGATGTAGTTTATCGCATTACACAGGACTCGGATGTAGTTTATTATCATACCCAAGACGACCTAGATTAGTATCTAGGTCCCTCCCCCGTTTACTGTTAAAATAACTAAATACAACCGTCACTTGTACTCCAAGAGTTTCTTTTCTCGTCAGAATCCAACTTACACATTTATAAATCAACCATTCGCCTGAATTCGAATACTGTTGCCATTATCTGGTCTGGTTCTCCTGCTGCACATCTCGAGGTCCTTGATAAAATCCAAAGGATCTATAATGTAAACAACTCTGATCAGGATATCGGACTTCACTCACTTTCTCACCGACATTGCGTGGCTTCCCTCTGTCTTTTCTACTAATATTTTTATGGCAATTGCTCTGACTAGCTTTTTTTCCCTGATGTTCCGATCCCATGAATTTAATCGTGATACCATATTTGCATCTAGGTATCACTCTTTTACTGTTGAAATATATAAATGCAACTTTCCCCTTCTACTCCAAAAGTTTCTTTTCTTGCCTTGATTGTGGTGAAATGATTTCAAAATGATTTAAGTAATTAGATCCAAAGTTTTGACGATACAAAAAAAAAATACATAGAATCAAAGCTGGAATCGTTCTTTTGTAACAGAATGCACATTTCCCCGAAAACCTTTAAAAACTCTTTGATGACTAAAATAAGAATATGATAGTATATTCATAAAGTACTTCGTCCAGGATTGTAAGAAACTTTTATATTTACCCATTATTATGATTAGTACTCATTGAAGAAAAATGTCGATAAAATAACAAGTCTTCTCACCTTGGGACGTGAGAAGAAATATTTCTTATAGTCTTTTCCAGTCTATAGTCGTTCTATCCGTGTTCCGAAATGCTGCAGAAAAATCCGTTTCCTCTCATTATGATTACGCTTGAGAAATATGGCTATACATGACCACACGGTCTGTTGCCACTTCCAATTAGGGATTGAGTTGTGATAAAGTCCAACACATTCGTAATGTTTTTACTGTACACACGTGAGTATACAATATACCATTAACTCATTACGTCAATGCAAATATTTATTCAGTCTAGCCAGATCTTACCAATGTTGATGTTTATTGCGTTTAGTCCAAGAAAATAGATAGATAGATATATAGATAGATAGATCATGAACAGGCTGAGAATAGATAGATAGACAGATAGATAGAAAGATATGAAAGAATGAGAACAGATAGATAGATAGATAGATAGATTTTTCTAACACGTTAAATTGGCGCATATTATAAATTCCCATGCCAAATGCCACTTGCACAGCATTGCAACTATTTTCACTAACAAAGCCAAGTTATCGAAAGAGAAGCCAAATCAAACTACTTGGCTTAACCATGCTAAAAGTTGTTACATTAAAATTGCTTGCTTCTAATCCTTTTCCAATTAAGGAAAACCTACAAGACGGCAGGGGTTTGAAATCAGAATGTTCTTTTATTTTCCAAACACGGTCAAATTTCTTATAATTCTAGATACATACATACATAATCCATACATTCAGTTAAAAGTAAAAATAAAATCATTCTTGATAATGACTAAAAGTATAACCCAAAGCGCTTGGACATAACTTATCTCAAGAAAAATTAAATTAAGACTTAACCGTAGTACCGTGTCTGTTGTTATTAAAGGTGTTTCATTAAGACGGATCAAAGTCAGCAGTAAATAAATCAGTGTTATCGGTGAAAATTTATTTATTTCTCAATTAGATCATGTTGTTTGTCATGGAAATTATGTGTGAGAAATAATATCACCCAAATATTCGCCAAGGCTTCGGCGGCATACTTCCACTCGATGGTCAAAATTTTTGATGACGTCTCTGCATAGTTGCTCCTCGATCTCACCAATATACATTATTATCTCATGCTTTAGCTGTTGAACTATTGTTAGCTTGTTAGCATAGACCTTACTTTTGAGATGACCCCAAAGGAAGAAATCTAAAGGGGTTAAATCGAAAGATCATGGTGGCCAATAGACTTCGCTGTTTCGAGAAATGATGTGACCTGGGAACTTCTTATTCAAATTCTGTTTGAACATTTATTTTCATAATAGGCTTCGATAATTTAAAAAATACATGATTAAAAACGGGTCCGTGTGTGCTTCTTATAATATGTAAAATAGATAGATTAGTTAATAAAACAAGGATAAACGAAAGGGTAGCAATATAATCTGTACGATAAACATTAATTAAATATTAATTATGAAATACATGACAGAAATAAAGCGCAAAAAGAAAGGTTTTAAGTTCGGAATTTTCAGACACGCCTGTGTCCTTTATCAACGGACAGAAGAATAAACAGAGAAATGAGAATTACTCACCAACAGATGTTTTTGTAGATCGGGTATTTTCCAGTGGAAATTGTATTGTTTAGCAAAAAACAGATCTGTGTCTGATTCGTCGATGTGCTAAACATTTATGTAAATAAACTTAAATTTAAAATTTTGATCAGTGTGAAAGCTTTTCTTTTAGCCTTAATTTCAAACTTATAGATTAAATTCAATATTTCCAATAAACAAATACTTTGCTGTAGGTCAAAACGAAATCAATTTGATTGGAATGAGTCCATTTTTAGAAATCAATAAAAATGGCTGATTTTAGTCACACTTACAGTTCTCTGGGCACAGTGTAAATAAAACTTGCTCTTAGTTGAAAATATTGCAGAAAACCATTTTTAACACGGAGGTCGAATGTTTTTATCAGGTGTTGAAAACTATCTGAAAAAACATATATTTGTGAAATTTTTCTACAGGGAGACATAAACGTTTATAAAACGTTTATTTTCCTTATTCGACCTTTATTTTCCTTCATACTTTTTATATAATTTTCTTCACTACATAGTAATCTTAAACATTTATGAAAATATTCTCCGTAATCTAATAATGAATTTTAGCTACTTTGGCTTTAAATTTAATATCGATACTGCTCTTATTTTCTGAAAATATCGTATATGTACCTCCGTATTTACAAAAATCGGCACGTTTAAACACACACACAAACTCGCATGTAAAATTCATTTTTTTTAATTTACTAATTAATTAAAATCTTTTCTAATTAATTAACATTCTTCTAATTAAAAATGTCTTGATTTTATGACATTTTTATTTTACGATTCAGTGCTGAGGATTCTGTTTTACAAAAAATATTAATGATTTAAATTCTCCAAGGATTATTAGATGACTATTATAAACATGAAGCGGTAAAAAATTTAATTTCTCCAAATTTCATAAAATTAAATAAGTGAGGCAAGTAACAGATGTAAAAAATATTTTTACCAAATTTAAAAAAAAAAGTTTCTAAAATAATTTAATTTTTAATATCTTGATAGTTTCAATAAAATTCGAAAATTATTTGATTTTTTGCACGAATTTTCACATTTGTTTTTCGCTGTAAAAAAGCTCTTAAAATTCCCAACATTAACACAAGAAGAAAAAATTTTTAAAAATTTCGATGGTTCAAAAAGCGATTAAAAATTATAATTTTATAAGCAAAAAATCCTTTGGTCTTTCCTCTAAATATTAACATAAAGATTTTGACGATAAAACTTTATTCTTATTAATTCGGGGTCATTTTTTTTCAATCTATGTTCATTTTATAGAGAATCATTGAAGGTGTATATTTCTTTCTTTCTTTCTTTCTTTCTTTGAGTATTTCCATTCTTTTTCTTCGTCTTCCTTTATTTTCCTTCCTTCTTTCTTTCCTTCCTTTCTTTCTTTTACTTTCTTTCTTTCTTTGAGTATTCCCTTTCTCTTCCCTCTTCAAAATTTGTTTCCCTCCCTTCTGGTCTTCTTTCTTTCTTTTTTTCTTTCTTTGAGTATTCCCTTTCTTTTCCCTCTTCAACTTTTATTTTCCTTCCTTCCTTCCTTCCTTCCTTCCTTCCTTCCTTCTTGCTCATTTTTTAGATAAACTTTGGCGGTAAATATATATATATATATATATATATATATATATATATATATATATACCTTACAGCAAAAAAATCCAAAATTAACTCATGTGGGTATAGTATATTTCAGCCGGCGCAACTTATCGTCAATCTTCTTCAACTTTGAACTGGACTCGTCTGGAAAATCAGGGATATATATACATATAGAATTTAATTTAGATAGCAGTCGAGGAAAAGACACCGATCCTACCCTAAATGTCGACTCAGTCAGATAAAAAGCCCGTGTTGGTGGTAAGAGGAGAGCGTTAGGTATCTCTCTAATATATATGCTCTGTTATTATAAATACATTGAGGTGTCTATCACTTTTAATATTTGATATCTCTAGGATCCACATGGACTATATACTAATGGCTCTATTACGTGTACTATATATATATATATATATATATTATCATTATTATTATCATTATTATTATTATTAATTAAAGAATATCAAACACTTAAAATCCCATAGGTAATAATTTTTATTTCATAAGAGCTGTAAAAAAACAGCTTGAGGATGTAGAAACAAATCACAAATGAAATGGAAAAATATATTCCAGATTAAAGTCAAAAGATATTGTTATTTTATTTAGAGAGTGGGAAAAGGCAGAGAGTGTTGACCTTTTTTGATATACAAACCTCAGTATGTCATTTGAAGTCAATATACCATAATACATGATATTCTTTAATTAACAATAATTTTGTCTTTTGACATAGAGCTCTCCTTGGATCTATATCCTCCTAGAATTTCCATACGGACTACCATATTGTATCATTACTATATATATATATATATATATATATATATATATATATATATATAGCTTTATACTTTTCCAAATGTGTTTGTGCGAAAGCAAACCCACGGCTTGAATTTGAATTCGACTTGCTAGTCTCACTTTCCACGCCGATAATCGCTACGCTACACATATTCCAGATAGATAGATAGATAGATAGATAGATAGATAGATAGATAGATAGTGTTTATTTATTTATGTGCGTTTATATACGTACCTCTAGAACTATAGTGATCTATCATATAAAAGTAAAAGATATATTTGCTTTGATTGATCGGGTGACAGATCGATGAAAACATTAGGTCATGAAAGCCTCTATGGAGATTTCTCTTTTTACCTGTCTGAAGTTGTACATAATCACGCGCAGTTAGACATTTAAAAAAATGAATGCACTGAGTGTGTTTTCCATCAAGGTGCACGTATTGACTGAAAAGAAACAGGTTGAAGAGAGGAAGGACGTCTTCCATTTTCTTTATCAATTCTTCAAATCATTAACGGCCATTATCACGTGACATGCGAAGCGGAAAGGCGATTTTTTTTTATCTTATCGCTCTTTCATTTCCTTTTAGCAGAGTTTTTTTTTTTTTTTAAAGAAGTATATAAGTGCAAGGCTATCAACCGTGTGTCAGCGGACATTAGAATAAATGCTTTGAAAAAAATCTCGTCGCTTTTAGTTTTTTTCGATAGCTTTTTTTAACAAAATTATATTTGAAGAATCTGTTTACGTAATTCGTGATATCACAGCCGGAATGAAAGAAATGCGTCAAAATTTTAAATTAAGTGATAACTATGTTTATTTTTGCGGCGACTGCATTTAAATCTGGCATATCATTTTTTTTTCGGCCTTTCCCGTCGTCACATCCTGATTCTACGCAGACATTTTCTTCATGGAACATCAGACCGCAGCATGACCAAAGTGACGCCTCTACAGTTTCAATATCAAATGGATTTTCGTAGGACCGGATCCTATTCCAACAGACTCCTTGCTGAACAAAGACCCTCAGCCATAAAAATTATTTCTGCTTTGGTTTCGGTAGCAATGTAATTTGAACATAACCAGCTTGATACACCGATACCCAAGATTGACTCCCTTAAATAAAAAAAAATGACAACTGCCCGGCAACTTATCATTTTCGTTAATCTTTTCATCCATCTCCCAAATCAAGGTGATAATGCCACTAAGACGCAAGTGGTTATTGGGAGTGAAAGAGAATACATAAACTATTTTGGAATTATCTGTCTATATCTCTGAGATGAAGCATTATGATTACTTGCATTATTTATATTATTCAGATTATTATACTCATCTTCATTGCCATATTCACAACCTTCCGGCTTCTACATCTCTGAGATGAGGTATTATGATTGCTTTATATGTGTGTGTGTGTGTGTGTGTGATGACGTGGGATCTTCCGTCTATTTCGACGTATGAGAATCCGACAACCTCATTCAATTTTTATGTTTGTATCATATGTAACTCTTCAGTCCTGATATTGATCTGCATACATGTCCACATAGTACCCAACACCGGTCATCTCGGGACATAGCAACAGGTATGTTTG